TCTACTTGAGCTAGGGTTGGAGTTTAGTGGACTCAAGGTTACACAAGGTTATATAGGATGTTAAGGATATAAGGTCGAGGGTTTAGCATGCAGAGTAGGTAACGTATGGTACCCGAGCTGATCCTTTTGCGCCCTAAATCCTAAGCCCTAAATCCTAAACCCTCAACCCTAAACCTTAAACCCTAAACCCAGGTCGGTGCACAGGCAACGACATCAGTAACCACTGCTTCTAAGCCAACCACAAGTGCTGATCGCTTCTGGATGGGTCCGCAGTGATCTCTCGCAGAAATTCCAGGTCCCGAACTTCTCCTCGCGCCCTAAACCTAAGCCCTTAAAAACCCTAAGTCCCTGACCCCTTAAAAAGCTCAACAAAAACCCAACAGCCCTGAATCGCAGGAGCTGGGTGTGACTGGTAGCCTCGAACCTCTTGCAGATCCCCGGCGAACAAGCGCCTTCGGGGTTCCCAGGTTGTAAGTGCGCTAGTTTGGCGTATTCCCGAACCCTAAACCCTAAACCCTAAACCCCCCTAACACTAAACCCTAAACTTTTTTTTGCTGGGTGGATGCCGGGGGGGGGGGGAGGGGGGTTGTGAGGAGTTTTTTGGGGCTCTCTGGGTGTTCTAAGGAGGGGGGCTTTGGGGTTTCTAGGGCTTTAGGGATTCGTGGGGCAAGCTTGGGGTGTCCTGTCCATTGGTTTAGGGTTCCGGGTGTAGGGCTTTCAGGGTTAGGCAGTCACTAATTTTTTTTTGGTCTAGGGGGAGGCATTCATTCATGCGCGAGCTTCAACTTGTAAGCCTAAACACTGAAACCCGCAACTCTAAGTGTGCCGAGGGTGTGGGATTTAGGGGTTTAATTACGGTTTAGGATTTTTGTAGGGCTGGCGGTTTAGGTTTAGGGTTTAGGGTTCAAGGTTTTTCGGTGGGTTCAAGGACCCCTTGATGCTGCTGCGCTTCTACATGGCTCGGTCGAGACAAGTGGAGGCTGCAGCGGCCATGCACGGCGAGACGGTGACCTGGAGGGAGGCTTTTGACCTGCAGTCGGTGATGTCGGCGTTTCCTGGCTCTTCTTTGTGGGGTTTCAGGGTTGAAAGGGTTGAAAGGGTTTGTAGGGTTTATAGCGTTCATAGAGTGTATAGGGTTTTATAGGGGTTCATAGGGTGTAGGGTTATGGGGCTTTCGGGTTTAAGCTTTAGGCTTTAACCTTTCAACTGCGGGGATAAGATGCTTTTTGCCACAACCTGAAGTGCTGATAGGCCCTGCAGCACCCCTAAACCCTAGAACCCTCGAACCCTAGAACCCTATAACCCTATAAACCCTATAACCCTAAACCCTATACCCCTAAACCCTAAACCCTATAACCCTATAACCCTATAACCCTATAACCCTATAACCCTATATCCCTATAACCCTAAAGCCTAAACCCTAACCCTAAACCCTATAAACCCTATAAACCCTATAAACCCTATATGCTATAAACTAAGCCTTCTATACGCCCTACACCTCCATACAGGTACGGAGTTGGGGAGCTCTATCGGCCAAGCGGGACTCGATCGAGCAACGCGACGTTCTGGTCCCCTGGGGAGGGACGAACTGAGCCACAACGAGTTGCGGTTTAGGGTTTAGGGTTTAGGGTTTAGGGTTTAGGGTTTAGGGTTTAGGGTTTAGGGTTTAGGGTTTAGGGTTTATAGGGTTGAGGGTTGAGGGATTTGGGGTTTAGGGTTTCGGGATTTAGCATTTGCGGTTTAGGGTTTCGGGAATAAGGGTTTAGGGTTGAGGGTTTTGGGGTTAGGGGAATGGGGATTCGCATGCCCTACGTAAGCTTTACCCCCCAAACCCTTATAAACACAGAAAACCCGACAAGCCCTTCATGAGCCGTCTATGAACCCTTTAGAACCCTCTAAGCCCTTAGACAACCACCGGAAGCCCGAACCCCCGTCAGGGCCACCCTAAACGCGAAACCCTAAACCTTAACCCTAAACCCTAAACCCTAAACCTTAAACCCTAAACCCTAAACCCTAAACCCTAAACCCTAAACCCTAAACCCTAAACCTGCGTCCCGCCAGGTCCTGGACCTGGAATCCGCAGACAAAGGACGCCAAGCGAGTAGCGCCGCACCTCGATGCCTCTTAGGGCGAAAGGGAATTGGGGAACTGTAGGTGCCCTATAGACTCAGGGTTTAGGGTTTAGGGTTTAGGGTTTAGGGTTTAGGGTTTAGGGTTTAGGGTTTAGGGTTTAGGGATAGACTCCCTTTAAGGGTTGGGGGAGAGTAGAAGGCACCTCTGAATCTCTCTCTCTCTCTCTCTTTCCCTCTCTTTCTCTCTCTTTCTCTCTCTTTCTCTCAAAATTCCCGCATGATAGCTCTAAACCCCTAAACCCTAAACCCTAGACCCTAAACCCTAAACCCTAAACCCTAAACCCTAAACCCTAAACCCTAAACCCTAAACCCTAAACCCTAAACCCTAAACCCTAAACCCTAAACCCTAAACTTACAAGAGCTCGTAAGGCACGTCTTCTTCGGCCGCCTGAAGGCCCCGGCGGCGGATGGTGGGCCGGTTCTGGTCTGGCGGGTGGGGCTTGCAGACTATAGCGGCTTCCTCCGCGAGAAGCTCCCGTCTCCTTATGGGAAGGATTTCTTTTTTGTAGCTTCTAATTCTGGGTTTAGGGGTTAGGGTTTAGGGTTTAGGGTTTAATTAGGGTTGAGGGTTGAGGGTATAGGGTTTAGGGTTTAGGGTTTAGGGTTTAGTGTGTATTTTGTGCTTCTGTCTAGAGTATCTAAGGCGCCCGCCCAAGGTTTTTGGGAATGGTTGTAGAAGTGCTTATGATTTTGGCATGATTCTGAGGGTGTGGTACAAGTATAGGTCGTCCTGTTTACCACTATTTGCGAAAGAACCCCCTCCCCAAACAAAAAACAAAAAATCACACACATATATATATATATATATACAAGCACTAAAGAACAATGATCCCTTTATGTCATCCTCGTAAGAAAGAAACTATTCTTCTTGGTTTTTTAGCAAAAATAGTCGTTTACAGTGGGTCATCGTGGGGATTATACCAGGGGGTACTGCCTACTAGAATTCCGATTACGGACTGCTAGTATCTACGAATTGTAAGAACCCCGGAAAAATAAGAAACATTCTTCCTTATTAAGGATAATCTAGGGATTATTTATTTTTCTTTGTTTAATTCTTTTGGGGTTCTTAAGCAAATAGTAGGCATAAGGGGGAACATCCCAACCCTGAGCCCTAAACCCTAAACCCTAAACCCTAAACCCTAAACCCTAAACCCTAAACCCTAAACCCTAAACCCTAAACCCTAAACCCTAAACCCTAAACCGAGGCTCGTGGATGAGATGATCCGGGCCTTCGTGGCCCACTTCGAGGATGCCCTGCAGAGTGGCCGGGCGGCCTCGCTGAAGGCGGGGCGCCTGGTCCAGGCCGGGGGGGGGTTAGGGTTTAGGGTTTAGGGTTCAGGGTTTGGGGTTTAGGGTTTAGGGGTTAGGGGTTTAGGTTTTAGGGTTTAGGGTTTAGGGATGTCTCAGCCTGGTTCAGGTTTTAGGGCACGTGGGGTTTGTACGAGGCTTTGGAGGGTCTGTGGGGTTTATAGGGTTTGTGGGGTTCATAAGGTTTATAGGGTTCATTGTTTGGTGGGTTTGGGGTTGAGGGTGTAGGGCTGGCTCGGCTTGAGGCTTTGGGGTTTGGGGTGGCGTAGGGCAGGCGCTTTCGAGGGCTTCGGGGCTGTAGGGAGCTTCTTAGAGCGCCGAGGGTTTCGGGTTGGGATTTCAACCTTGAGGAGCTCCAACCATCCATCGGCCAGGATCCTGTCAACCCTACAAGTAGGGCTTCTCCAAAAGGGATCTCGCGAGTTGACAGCCTACATTTGCAGGACCTGACTTCCACACTTTTCCATAGCGCTAGAGGGCTGCAGGGTGGTTTTGTCAGGGGCTGCGCCTCTGTGGGGGTCTCCGAGAATGTTTTGGAGTCCCTTTAAGGGGATTCTATTCTATTTGGGGTATACAAGGCGTACTCCACTTTTGATTTTGGGAAGTATGTGTACCTCCTCCCGCGCATCGAATCCGGGTCCAGGCGCGCGTCGTCATCGACGCCAGCGGCTTCAGCTTCGAGTACCTGCAGCATCTTCAGATTCTCCGGCACATCTCCCGGTTGATCGAGCGGCATTTTCCTGAGGTGTCGCGCTCGGTCACCGTGGTGCGTGCCTAGGACCGGGTGAAGGGCCCTTTTTTTCTTTTTGTTTAGGGTTGGGGTTCCCTTAAAATCCCCTTAAACCCAAAAAGGGTATACCTTATCTATTCCTAGGTTACCCCTTAAACTCCCCCTTTAAAAGCCAAAAAAGGGGTACCCTTGTTCATTCCTAGGCTACTCCCGGGTCTAGGTGCTCCCTGGAGCGTCGTGAGCCTCTACAACATCGTGAGCCCATGGCTTGCCGCGCGGGCCCGGTGACTTGGCTGGGGGGCTCCGTTTTCCAGCATCCACTGGGTTTCATATGCGCCACTTACGTGCTTTGAAGTCCTTTTTTGTTTATTAGTTTTTAATACGACTATTACTATTATTATTATTATTGTTGTTATTATTATTATTGTAATTATATTTTATGAAGTCGAATTCTAATTTGCTGCCAGGAAGAAGGTGTGCATCCTTGGGGAAGACTTCCACTCCCAATTGGAGAAGCACTCTGGTTTGGAGATTGCCAGCTTGCCCTCCTTCTTGGGTGGCCATGCACCGGCAGAGGAAGCAGGTCGGGCAGAGCCCGTTCCCCTTAGCTAGAGCGGCGATTCCATCAGTGATCCGCTTCCTGCTGTGGATCCCGGGGCTGCTCCAAAGCACGTGCAACGGCGGTAAGGAACGCAGCGTGCTTCGCTACGAGGTCTGATACACGACCGCAGCCTTCGACGCGCGTCAGACTGGGCTGGGACAACCCCGTTGGCATCAAAGCTAATCACAGGCCAGTTCTCCCTCCATGGCGTCGACGTGCCTGCAAGTGACCAGCATGATTGCATCGCCGAGGAAAATTCCGCAGCCGGGATGTCAGCGACACGGCCCGCTGGCCGCATGTTCCAGCTTTTCTTTAAAGACTCTCGTGTACAGGAGGCAGCGTGTGAGAATACCACGCTGTGACGCTGGAATGCGATCGCCTCCCCTGACGAAAGTTACGTCGGTGCCGGGGCCATGTTGTTTGTTGCCTTAGCTGTTGTCCCGTTCTGTGGAGAGATGAACCACTTCAAGAGCCGCCATAGAGCTGAACCCTATAAACCCTAAACCCAGAGGAACCCATAAACCCTAAACACCGCACTCTGAACCTTATGTAAATCTCCATCCGACGCGGCGGCAGGCAGCTGTTCGACTTCCTGGCGTACGTGCCTTGACGTCCGACATCAGCTGGGATGCCACTCAGGTGCCTGGGGCTTCCAGGACCCTAAGTCTTAGCGCACGAAACCCTAAACCCTAAACCCTAAACCCTAAACCCTAAACCCTAAACCCTAAACCCTAAACCCTAAACCCTAAACCCTAAACCCTAAACCCTAAACCGTGGCCATGGGCAGTTCATGATGCAGTGGAGGTCGGTGCCGGTGCAGGTTCCATAGTCCTCTAGGACCTGGAGTAGGCTCCTATTTATTTTTTTAAGGGTTGGGTTCCCTTGTAACCCCCTTTAAAACCCAAAAAGGGGCGCCCTGTTGTTTCCTAGGTTATTCCTCGGTTACTCCTGGGTCGAGTCCTCCTGAGAACAGCTGCCGAAATACTCCCCCCCCCCACCCCCGAAGGGTTCCTGCCGCAGAACCATCCAACTTGGCGCAAACCCCAACAACCTTGATCTCCAAAACCCTAAAACCTTCAACCCCAAAACCCTCAACCCCAAAACCCTAAACCTTAAACCTTCTAAGCCCCAAAGCCCTAACCCAAAAACCCTTAAACCCCCAAAACCCTAAACCACAGAACCCTAAACCTTACACCCCTAAGCCCCTCAACCCCTAAAGCCTGGAACCCCTCAAACCCTAAAACCCTGAGCCCCCACGCCGGAGCCTAAACCTTAAACCTTATAAACCCTAAACCCCTAAACCCCTAAACCCCGAAACCCCGAAACCCCTAAACCCCTAAACCCCCACACCTAAACCCCAAACCCCAAACCCTAAACCCCAAAACCTAAACCCTAAACCCTAAACCCCAAGCCGTTAAGCGGCAGGCCGCTCGGTTGAACTCCGAGACCGCGTCGCCTCACCTCGCGCTCGGCTCGACGCTCGAGGTGGCACAGGAACACCTGACCTTTAGAAGAAGGGGCAGGGTTTGGGGGTTTAGGGTTTAGAGGGTTTAGAGGGTTTAGGGTTTAGAGGGTTTAGAGGGTTTAGGATTTAGGGTTCAGGGTTTACGGTTTGGGGCACTCGGAGGTCCATGGGTACTTAGAAGTAGGGTCATAACTATGGCAAACATGCTTCTCACACTACTAGAGGTACTTCTTTCCTTACTTATATGTACCCATGAACCTCCGAGCATTTCAATACACTCGTTTTGGGAAAGCTATAGTTGAAGCATGATAAGCATAGCACGGTGAGTCAAGTGGAGTCGAATCTTTGGAAGATCTGGACAACTCCTGCAGGGCTGAAGGTTCGGGTTTACTATAGGGGTCGAAAGAATTACTAGTGGTATTCCCTTATGGCCCCTTTATAACTCTACTATAATATCCCCCCCCCAAAAAAAAATATATATATATATATATATATTCTAGTTCTTTAGGGGGCCCTATATGTTATATAAGGTGTTATAGGGGTCGCAGGAGGACGCCCGGGCCCTGCCGCAGAAGACAGGGTCGGTGGACTTTGTCGTCACGGATGTGCCATTTGGAAACCGGAACCGGCTTGTCTGGGTCAATGGCCTGCTACTGGGACCCAGACCCAAAGGCTCCATGTACCCTTATAGTGGATACCTAGGCCTTAAGGTACCCTTATAGGAACCCCTTTAAGGCCTAGGTATCTACTATATGGGTACATGGAGCCTTAGGGAGAGTGAGTGGGCCCTTGTGCGATTTTTGTTTTGGGGGGTTCGGCTGCCTTATGATCCCTTGAAGCAAAATGGCACCTTTTTGTACTTCTAGTTTTCCTCTGGGACCTAGGTTGCCCGCGTTTCTGTCGGAAATGGCCCGTGTGCTGCGGCCCGGAGGGAGGGCTGCTCTGCTCATGACACGCGCCCACGCCAGGCAGATGCAACAGCTCTTGGGATTCCAGGAAGAGACGTGGGCTGCGTCGGTGCACGAGGAGGCCGTGGAGGACTCCATCGAGCCTGTGGGTGAGGAACAGTCGGCTGCCGCCACGGACCCTCATTCACTCAAGCAGCTCGAGCGTGCTTTCCGCCAGCTCGCCTGCCACAAAGTGGGAGTCGGCGGCTGGCCGGCAGCCGTGCTTGCGTTGGAGCGGCTGACGGGAGATGTGTCGGCGCAAGAGGCGCCGCCGTCTCCTGAAGCTCATGTCAAGGGCAAGGGCCTGAAGGGCAAGGGCAAAGGAGCTGGGAAATCAGCTCAGGGAGAGCCTCGTGAGTGTCTGCTGATCGAGAGCCCTCTGAGCTGCCCCAGCCTTCGGCTCGTGGACTACTTGATGCAACGCTGGCCATCCCACTTCCCAACCGAGTCGGTGAGTCGACGTGTGATGGGAAGGGGCCGGGTCTGGGTACAGGAGGAAGGGCATCTTCGGCAGGCGTGGTGGAGTGAGCCGGTGACGATGAAGACCGTCGTCTTCTTGCCGGACTACCCCCGCCGATCGCCCTATGAAGGCCAGCTGACGGTGCTGTACCAGGACGACCACGTGGGCGTCGTCTTCAAGGAGCCCCGGAATCGAGCGCGCGTTGTCTATGTCCTTATTTCAGGAAGATCATCTACACGCAACTAGATCGTTGCCAGTTGGGAATTCTTCTGGGGGGCTTCTTTTATACTTAAAGCAAACCAACCCCCATGATGAATCTTCTCTAGTATTTTGCTTAAACCAAACCTACCCCATGATAGCAAAATCTCCTCAAGTTCCATTCCTTTTGGGCACTTGCTGAAACAAACCTACCCAGACAAACAATAAACCCTAAACCCTAAACCCTAAACCCTAAACCCTAAACCCTAAACCCTAAACCCTAAACCCTAAACCCTAAACCCTAAACCCTAAACCCTAAACCCTAAACCCTAGTGCGGCCTCTTTGGGAGCCTCTCCTTCTTTGGCGGCGCAGGAACCGGGGCTGCGCATCTTCGGCGGCGTGCGCACCCTGGCGAACCTTGGGGACGAAGTGAACCCCCCCAAAAAAGGGCTTAGGGCTTATAGGGCTTAGGGCTTAGGGCTTAGGGCTTAGGGCTTAGGGCTTAGGGCTTAGGGTTTAGGGTTTAGGGTTTAGGGTTTAGGGCTAGGGTTAAAGGTATATACCTTAAAGGTCTTATGGCTCATATACCTTAAAAAGGCTTATATGGTTCATGTATTTCTGAATAGGAATGGTCGTAGTGTACGATATAACGACCCCCAATTTTTAAGGTTCTATTTGGCCCCCCAAAAGGAACCTGCTGGCGGCGCGGCGAGCGCCGTCTTTGACATCCTCAGGGCTGAGAAGCGCGCTGCCCGCGCCTGTGCCCGTGCACTTTCTCGAGGCGGAGCTGGGGGGCCGCTTGCAGGGAAATGTTCAAAAGAGGTCTTGGACATGCCCCCTTAAAAGAAATTGAGGGGTATGATGCTCCTTTTATAAGGTGAGGGTGGATTATAGGGCATGCCCCCCTTAGAAGAAATTCTAGCATGCCCAGTAGTGCCCTTATTCCTTTTTTTGGGGGGGGTTTAGGTTCTCTTATAAACCCCTTTAAGCAAAAAAGGGCACCCTTTTTAATCCCAGGTTACTGGGCAATAATTAAGGGGTACTGTAGAATCCTTCCTTATACTCCCTTTTTAGGGTGGAGGTGGATGATAATTCTTAGATCTTGTAAATTCTAGGATCCTTTCAAACCACCTATGGGCTTAGAGTTTAGGGTTTACGGTCCATACAAGGTTCAGTTTTGGGGGCTTGCTCAAATACAGCGGCCATCGTTGATGTTCGAACCCTTTCGAAAAGAGGCCCCCTAACTACATCCCTGATTTTGCATGACATGCAAACTCCTTATCTTTAAGCAACACATGTCAAAAATCCTCACTTGTGAGGGTTTAGGGAGTACTAGCGAGCAAGCAACTCCCCAGTGAAGGCCGCCCTAAGCCCAAGCCCTACTTCAAGAGCAAAGGCCACTAAACTCCGACTCCGACGTAGAAATCAAACCCCATGCCCAATCAAGGCCGCCCTGAACCCCAAGCCCTAAGCCTCCAAACCCCAGACCCCAAACACCCCTTCCCACAAACCTAACCCTGAGACCTAAACCCTAAACCCTAAACCCTAAACCCTAAAGCCTAAAGCCTAAAGCCTAAAGCCTAAAGCCTAAAGCCTAAAGCCTGAAGCCTGAAGCCTGAAGCCTGAAGCCTGAAGCCTGAAGCCTGAAGCCTGAAGCCTAAACCCTGCCCTAAACCCTAGACCTCCAAACATCTGAACCCTAAACCTTAATTAAGCCTCCCATACCCCTAAACCCGCAACCTCCATACCCGAAACCCGAAACCCCCAAAGCTCAGGCTGCTTCCTCGTGGCCAAGACGGCCGAGGCGGCTCTGGCGCTCGGCCGCGACATTCCGCAGCGCCGGCTGCGGGCGCTGCTCTGCGGTGAGCAGGCTTTGCGCCGGCTCCAAGAAGGCACCGGGTTTAGGGTTAGGGTTCAGGGTTCAGGGTTCAGGGTTCAGGGTTCAGGGTTCAGGGTGTAGGGTTTAGGGTTTAGGGTTTAGGGTTTAGGGTTTAGGGTTTAGGGTGGAGGTTCATGGGTAGTTCTAAGTAGGGGTATGATTGCGGTCACTGTACTTAGAGCCCCATCTAGGGTACTTCTAACCTTACTTTTGCCCGTGAACCTTCAAGTAGGGTTAGGGTTTTGCCTCAGGGAGTTTAAGGTTTGTGACACGGCTGGCATGTTTGTTTGTAAAGAAGGCTGATTCAGAAGGCTTGCGCAGGCGTGTGTTGTGAGAGCGAAAATAGACTCTAGACTTCCCCCCCGCTATCTTTAGGAAACAGTGGGGGGACGTCACGTTGAAGATATCCTATTTCCTATTGGTCTCTAAGGATCCTTCGCGGTAAAGCTTAAAGCCAGCTAGAGTTGGGAAAGCAAGAGGGGGGGACGTCCGTGAAACATTGCTGGGGACAGGGTTTCTCGAACGTACCCCCCCCCCCCCCCGCCGCCACACCCTTCCCAAACAAAATGCCCTGAGGGTCCCGTTCTGTGCTTTCTGGCAGACTAGTCTAGGTCTGTCTACCGGTCTTACAGAGGAAGCACAAAGAGGTCCCGACAGGTCCCGCTGGCCGGTTTTTTGGAAAGAAAGGCGGGGGGGACGTGCATGAAACATCGCTGGGGACAGGGTTTCTCGAACGAACCCTCCCCAATGCCCTTCCTAAAAAGCAGGCCTGTGGGTCCCGCCGTGTGCCTTCTAGCAGGGTAGCCTGGGTCCCTCTAGACATGTCCGGGCCTACTCGGGCTGCGGCGTGTCGGATTGAAGATGCTCAGGAAACTTTTCCTGGGCATCTTCAGTCCTCAATCTTCAACCCCGAAGAACCCTAAACCCTAAGCCCTAAGCCCTAAGCCCTAAACCCTAAACCCTAAACCCTAAACCCTAAACCCTAAACCCTAAACCCTAAACCTCAATCTTCAACCCCGAAGAACCGGACGATAAAGCACTTCGAGGTGCTTAGTCGGCCAGGTCAGTCAACGCAAAAGCAACTCGCAGCCTGAATCCCGACCTATGTATATAAGGACACCTGGCTCTCCTCTACATTCCCCCCCCCCCCCCCCATCTCTTGCCTGAATCCTTAGAAAGCAGCACAACTAGGTCGATCTTTGCGGCAGGGGGGGGGGGGGCACCTTATACTTATGTCTGGATATGGTTCAGGGTTTTACGGCTGAATACACCCTACATAGCCTACATGCCTCGAGAGGCAGCTCCAACAGAGCCCCGATGAGAAGCCCAAAGGGTCCCTAAGCAAGGGTCGCCCTCCGCTTTGTTTCTTTAGCTGCCCCCCAAAGGGTTTACCCTAAACCCTATAAACCCTAAACCCTAAACCCGTCAACCCCTAAACCCCTAAACCTCTAAACCCTAAACCCTAAACAGCGGGTTAGGGTTTAGGGTCCTTCCTACAGCCATCCGCGAGAGGTTTCGGGGCTCAGGGTTGAGGATTCGAGGGTTTAGAGGGTCAAGCGGTTGAGGGCTTGTATAGGGTTTGGGCTTGAGATTCTTGCGGGATGTATACATATATACATATGTATGTATATATATATATATATCTGTCTTTATTCTTTGTTTATTCATTTGTTTTATTCATTAATAGTTTATTCACATGTATATACATGTTTTTAGTTCCTTTTCCTTGGGTGATTATTGTTTTTCACGGCAAGACCCGGAGAGAAAGCAAAGACATCGGCGTGGAGAGGCAACCATGGTCGGGACTGGCAGATCCACCGCGTCGCCCCAAGTGTGCCGAGCTTGGCAGCTGCTGTTTTCAATGGGGTTTCCCAGGGTTTCGGGTTTAGGGTTTAGGGTTTAGGGTTATGGGTTTTAGGCCCCACCCCCCCTCTATACTACTCTTCGTAGGTTCCCTTCATAATTTAAGGCTATTTAGGGATAGTTAAGCCTCATTAAGGTTATTTACCTTCTGTTTGGGTTGCAGAGTCCTAGGTAGGAGATAAGGGGGGCCCTGAAAAGGGAATTCTGAACTTTCTTCTGGCTCTCTTAGAGGAGGGACCGTATAGAAAGGGCCTATATCCCCAAGGGTCGCCCTAATCCTATGCCCTAGCAGAGGTTTTGAGCTTTCGGGGTGTGGTTCGTGGGTGGATTCCTGCACGCTGCAGGGCCTGGGTATGCCCTCGTGGCCTTATTTGTTTCCCCCTTTTTTTGGGTCTGAGAGGGTCATGTTCAGGAATATTTTTTCAGATGCTTTAAGGGCCATCCCAGAGGCATAGGATTTTCGGGTGCATGGGTGTACAGGTTTCAAGGCGCTTTGGGGTTCAGCAGCTTGGCGGGTCCGGGAATGTTTGGGGGGATGTCTGGGGTGAAGGCTTCCACTTTTTTTTAACCAGAAGAGTAGGGTATAAAAGCCCCCTTTATTGCAGGGTAGTTGAGGGTACAGGTTAGCCCTAAACCCTATAACCCTAAACCCTAAACCCTAAGCTCTAAACCCCAAACCCTTTGACCCTAACCCCACCCTAAACCCTAAACCCTAAACCCTAAACCCTAAACCCTAAACCCTAAACCTTTGACCCTAAACCCTTTGACCCTAAACCCTAAAGCCTAAAAACCCTATACCCTAAACCCTAAACCCTAAACCCTAAACCCTAAACCCTAAACCCTTTGCCCTTTGACCCTAAACCCTAAACCCTAAAGCCTAAAAACCCTAAACCCTAAACCCTAAACCCTAAACCCTAAACCCTAAGCCCTAAGCCCTAAGCCCTAAGCCCTAAACCCTAAACCCTTTGACCCTAAACCCTAAACCCTAAACCCTACACCCTAAACCCTAAACCCTAAACCCTAAACCCTAAACCCTAAACCCTAAACCCTAAACCCTAAACCCTAAACCCGAAGACGAGGTGCGGTTTGGGAAGCTGTCGGAGGCCAGCCGCTGGGTGGTGGGCCCGGTTTCGATGCCTGGAGCTCAACGGCGAGATGGGAAGCCTTCTTTCGGGTTATGGGGTTTAGGGTTATAGGGTTTAGGGTTTAGGGTTTTAGGGTTTAGGCTTTAGGGTTTAGGGTTTAGGGTTTTAGGGTTTAGGGTTTAGGGTTTCGGGTTTAGGGTTTAGGGTTTAGGGTTTAGGGCACTGAATCAGGGTGCTTCATACCCTGCGTTGCAAGCGCACCACTTCCTCAGAGTCGAAAACGCCATGCCGGCCGCTTGTCGTTTCGGCCCCAATGCAATGCATTCCCAGCAAGCACAGGATCAGGACTTGAAGTCGTCAAGAAGTGCGACCATCAACGCTTGTCTAGCCTCCGTTGCCATGTCCTGCCTGTCAACTCCCCAGACTGTCTTGACTGTCCCAGAGCTCCTGAAGCACGGCGACACCCATAGCGACGTGGAAAGTACTGTGGCAGCTGAGCACAGTGACATCGAAACTGTCGAGGACTCTTGCCCTTCTGAACTCCCATCGCCGCGCTCCAGTGGTACGGCTGACGCGTGTGATGAAGAGGAGGGCCCATGCAATGTGGTTGTGAGGAGCACGTTCATCGATGTGGATGATGGCCGAAGTCTGATGCAGCGCTTCAGGCGGTTGCGCAGAGCCAAGACCGAAGCTTTTGCCGAAGAGGAGGCCTATGAACCCGGGAGGTTCAGCGATGAACGTGCCAAGGCACGCGAGGCAGCCGCCGCGCCCCGCGCACCTGTAGCGGCAGGGCCATTGCCACAGGCTCCAGTGGCGATGGGAACACGAGCACAGAAGGATTCGGCCAAGAGCACGACTCCTGAGCGTACCACTGTGATGCTTCGAAATATCCCGAATAATTGTTCCCGTGAGATGTTCCTGGCCCTCTTGGATGAGCATGGCTTTGCCGGGCGCTACGACTTCGTTTACCTGCCCTGCGACTTCTACCGCCAGGCCAACCTTGGCTACGCTTTCGTGAACCTGGTGGACGGCCGCGCCGTCGACGAGCTGTGGCAGGCTTTCGATGGCTTCTCAGGCTGGCCCCTGCCAACGGCCAAGGTTTGCCAGGTGAGCTGGAGTGGCCCGCACCAAGGCTTCAAGGCTGGGGACATGCTAGCAGCTAGTACTTCCTCACGGACCCCCCCCCCCCCAACAAAGCAGAAAAGAAAACACAACAAAGCAGAGTACCTTTAAAGGGTATAGGCGCAACGATATTCAACATCTTGCATGCTAAGCCTAGGTTTCCAGGTTAGCGTTCGGGCTTAGCGCAGGGAGGTTGGGGAGAGAATTGAATGCTGTAGATGGTGCTCACGCCCGCTTCTAAGTCCAGGCACACGTGGAGCGTTACAGGAACAGCCCTGTGATGCACCGCAGCGTGCCCGATGAGTACAAGCCCGTCATCTTCAAGAACGGTGTGCGCAAGAGCTTCCCACGACCGACCAAGAAGGTCAAAGCACCAACGGCAGGCTACTGAGATTCTGAGATCAGAGGCCCTGCCTTCTCCGGCCCTGCGCTCCCGCGCCACAACTGTGCAGCCCTGACCGCTTGAAGCGCAGTCTCTTGGGCTCTTGGGCCTTTTTCCACTCCCCAGCCCCGAATCCCCCTTAGATGTATGTACAGACAAGGCACGTGCACAGACGCACAGGTGTCTTCTCCAGTGCTGTTTGAGTCATTGAGCAGCACAGGGCTGCCAGTGAGTGAGGCGTGGTGAGGCATGGCTGCGCCCGAGCGGCAGTGGACCGGCGCCTGTAAAGCTGAGGGCCGAGGCATCGCAAGGAATTCGTGAAGCAAAACGGCTCTCAAGTATCACTTGCGCATGTGCCTAGGTCACGGTGCCTTGCCGACAATGCCATGCCGGCCGCTTGTCGTTTCGGCCCCAATGCAATGCATTCCCAGCAAGCACAGGATCAGGACTTGAAGTCGTCAAGAAGTGCGACCATCAACGCTTGTCTAGCCTCCGTTGCCATGTCCTGCCTGTCAACTCCCCAGACTGTCTTGGCTGTCCCAGAGCTCCTGAAGCACGCAGACACCCATAGCGAAGTGGAAAGTACTGTGGCAGCCGAGCACAGTGACATCGAAACTGTCGAGGACTCTTGCCCTTCTGAACTCCCATCGCCGCGCTCCAGTGGTACGGCTGACGCGTGTGATGAAGAGGAGGGCCCATGCAATGTGGTTGTGAGGAGCACGTTCATCGATGTGGATGATGGCCGAAGTCTGATGCAGCGCTTCAGGCGGTTGCGCAGAGCCAAGACCGAAGCTTTTGCCGAAGAGGAGGCCTATGAACCCGGGAGGTTCAGCGATGAACGTGCCAAGGCACGCGAGGCAGCCGCCGCGCCCCGCGCACCTGTAGCGGCAGGGCCATTGCCACAGGCTCCAGTGGCGATGGGAACACGAGCACAGAAGGATTCGGCCAAGAGCACGACTCCTGAGCGTACCACTGTGATGCTTCGAAATATCCCGAATAATTGTTCCCGTGAGATGTTCCTGGCCCTCTTGGATGAGCATGGCTTTGCCGGGCGCTACGACTTCGTTTACCTGCCCTGCGACTTCTACCGCCAGGCCAACCTTGGCTACGCTTTCGTGAACCTGGTGGACGGCGCGGCCGTCGACGAGCTGTGGCAGGCTTTCGATGGCTTCTCAGGCTGGCCCCTGCCAACGGCCAAGGTCTGCCAGGTGAGCTGGAGTGGCCCGCACCAAGGCTTCAAGGCTGGGGACATGCTAGCAGCTAGTACTTCCTCACGGACCCCCACCCCCCCCAACAAAGCAGAAAAGAAAACACAACAAAGCAGAGTACCTTTAAAGGGTATAGGCGCAACGATATTCAACATCTTGCATGCTAAGCCTAGGTTTCCAGGTTAGCGTTCGGGCTTAGCGCAGGGAGGTTGGGGAGAGAATTGAATGCTGTAGATGGTGCTCACGTCCGCTTCTAAGTCCAGGCACACGTGGAGCGTTACAGGAACAGCCCTGTGATGCACCGCAGCGTGCCCGATGAGTACAAGCCCGTCATCTTCAAGAACGGCGTGCGCAAGACCTTCCCACGACCGACCAAGAAGGTCAAAGCACCATCGGCAGGCTACTGAGATCAGAGGCCCTGCCTTCTTTGGCCCTGCGCTCCCGCGCCACAACTGTGCAGCCCTGACCGCTTGAAGCGCAGTCTCTTGGGCCTTTTTCCACTCCCCAGCCCCGAATCCCCCTTAGATGTATGTACAGACAAGGCACGTGCACAGACGCACAGGTGTCTTCTCCAGTGCTGTTTGAGTCATTGAGCAGCACAGGGCTGCCAGTGGTGAGGCATGGCTGCGCCCGAGCGGCAGTGGACCGGCGCCTGTAAAGCTGAGGGCCGAGGCATCGCAAGGAATTCGTGAAGAAACCAAGCACGCCAAGTCCATACGATCAGCTTCCTTCGCAGACTCTGAGCCCTCTAAGCCCCCCCAGTCTGCCATACAGACAAGCGCGCCGAGGTTCCGGGAGGAGTGTGCCAGGACAGGCCTGGTGCTACTGGGTACCTGGACGGAAGCTTGGAAGTTCGCCCTATAAAACCCTAACGGCCCTATCAATCCTCTATACCCCAAACCCTATCACCCCCGAACCCCCCCCCCCCCCCCTCTAGACTCTAGATCCTCTTGGTACGGGCTGTCAAGCATGTGGGGGAGTGCAAGGGAGTAGCACTCTTTGGCTCGGGGATTCCCTCGAACTTACCCAACTCACTCAGCCATTGAGTCCACAGAGGTATACAGTCATTGAGACGTGGCAGCAGCAGCAGCAGCAGCACAGTCATTGAGACGTGGCAGCAGCAGCAGCAGCAGCACCAGGGGGGGGGGGGGGGCGGGGGGGGGGGGGGCGGGGGGGGGGGGGGTTTGGGGTTTAGGGTCTAGGGTTTAGGGTTTAGGGTGTAGGGTGTAGGGTGTAGGGTTTAGGGTTTAGGTCTAGGGTTCCTTCCTACCGAGCAGGGAGTCGCAGGTATGGAAGGCATCCTACAGCAACAAGGGATACTTCCAAGTAGGCCTACTACAAACCCTAATCCCTGCCAAGGCCCTAAACTAAAACCATGAAAATTTAAACCCTAGAGCGATCGACTGCATGTAGAAGTTTTCCCGGACTCGGGCTACCCATGCAACCTCTAAACACTAAACCCGAAACCCTAAACCTAAACTCTAAACCCCAAACCCTATAACCCCTAAACCCTAAACCCTAAACTCCAACATCCGGACTGGTGAAGGGAGGGGGTGGGGGAGCAGGTGCCAATCGGTTGGATAAGCCCCCCCCACCGTATAGCGGTGCCGCAAAGCTTTCAGAGTGGGTTGAGCGTTTGTCGGATTCTCAACGCTGCGTTTATGGAGTTTCGGGTTGCTATACTCTTATAGCAGCTTGCATATGACGGTACCCTTGAAATGCGCCCGATATACGCCCAATATGTACACACGTACATATTTGCCTGTACCCATATAACTATGTCGTGCATATGTGATCGTTGTAGAGTACCCTGCCTTAATTAAATTCATGTGATTGCTTTAGGCGACGCGCAGTACGCTGGGGAGGATGCGCCGCGGATCCGTCGGAGCCAGGTTTTCCTGTTTGTGGACGGTTTCCTGGCGGCAGGATATCGGGTTGATGAGGCTCACGTGTACTTGGAGGTTCGTGGGTAAGTAGAAGTGGGGTTGCAGGCATGGGAACTATACTCTAATAACCCTATTTAGGGTGCCTTTTTGACCTTGCTTACAATTACCCACGAACCTTCAAGTAGGTTTTTTTTTTTTTTATCAAGTGCCCTCTAAGGTGCCGACGCGTCTTGAGAGTTTTTGGTAGGACCCTTTAGGGTCGCCTCATGGGGAGTTCAAACGACGGGGAGGGATTCGGGGCATCACCACTGGCGAAACTCATTTGCTTCCCTAAGGTTCCCTTTTAAGAACCCATTATAAGAACCCTTACAATAACCCTTATAAGAACCCTTACAATATGCCTTCTAAGAAGAATTCCCTATCAACCCTTTCTGGGCTTTGTTGCCCAGACCCCGAAAAAAGTCCGATCCATCCTCCGCAACTCTGGCTCGCAGCGGCGGTGTCCCAGGCGACGCCACAGTTGCAGTCCGAGTGTCGGCGTGCGGGCTTGATTTCGAGCGTCGCGCAACTCGTAGCCATGGGCACCAACAAGTCAGCGGAATGGGGGACTGTGCCCTTCAAGGGGGCCCGGACCTCAGAGAGCGGTTTCGGGGGGGTTGCTGATGTTTGCCTGGGAATTCTTGTTATCGTTATGTGTCAGTGTGTTGATACGAACCCCATTGCAGATTAAAGATTGCATGTGTATTTTGGTTCTAAGGGGGTATACTGAAAAAGGCTTACTATGATGCTCAAAGGTGTTCTTTTTCACAGCTTTTTGTTGTGGCTTTTCTTCTTCACTTAGGGTATGGTTGTGCTGCTAACCAACCCCAATACAACAGCACACTTGTATCTAGGGAGTAACCACCAATGGCCAGAGCACTGTTCCAACCAAAAAGCAGGATTAACTCCTTGCTAGCCCAGTGGTGCCCTTCTGCCCCTTTTTGTTGGTTCAAGGTCCCCTTGTCAAGTAGCCAACGCCAACAAAGGGTATTGTAGTACGGTTACCGGCTAGCAAGACTCCGAACCCTCAACCTTGAGACCCCCTAAGATCCCTCCGCCCAGAAGTTGAATCCCTAACACGTCCAAGCAGGCTTCCCCCCACGAAGACTGCAGTTTAGTTACCCTACCCCTACCCCCCCCCCCCCCCCCCCCACCCACCCACCACCCACCCATCCACCGCCCGCCCTCACACCCACCCACCTACTCACCCACCCGCCCACCCACCCCCGCCTAATCAAAACAATGCTAGATTTAGCCCCCGAATCTGAAAACCTCCCCCGACCCTCCCAAAAGACTTCAATCAAGAGGTGGATTTTCAGGCGGTAGGAGGGTTTTTGACACTAGGGGAAGTGATCTTTTCTTCCAACCCCTAAACCCTTACCAACCCTACACGTGCAAGCCCCCAAGCCTGCCGACCCCCCCAAAAAACCCAAAAAAACCCAATCCCCGGAGCCCGCCAACCCCCAACAAGGGCAGCACAAAACCCTAAACCCTAAACCCTAAACCCCACACCCCAAACCCTAAACCCTAAACCCCAAACCCTAAACCCTAAACCCTAAACCCTAAACCCCCTAAGCCCTCTCAAGCCCTTCAACTTACAGAGGACCGAGACTTCTTCTACGCGGACAACTTGGAGCCCCATGCGACGCGGCGGGTGGAGATCTTGAAGAAGCACCCGGCGGCCCTCCTCGAATCGTCCTTTTGCTTTTGTGGCTTTTAGGGTTTAGGGTTTAGGGTTTAGGGCTTTGGGGGGGGGGGGGGGGGGGGGGGGGGGGTTGGGGGGGGGGGGTGGAGGGTTGGGGTTTGGGGTGGGGTGTTTCGGGTAATTAGGGTGTGGATAGGGGACAGGGTTTGGGTTTTGGGGTTGCCCGTTTTGTTTCTTTGGTCGTTGTTTTCCGGGTTTTTTGTCGGGGGTTTTGGGCTTAGTTAGAGTTCCGTCCGTAGGCTGCGGAGTTGCGGAGTTTGATGATGAAAAAAACCCTAGAATTTCATCCCTCAGTCCAGGAGCAACGAAAATGCGCTTCCCCCATGCCGCCTTTTAGGGTTTACGGTTTAAGGCATAGGGTTTTGGGGTTTTTTAGGGTGTCTAGTGTTTAGGGTTTTGTGGTTTTTTTGGCGGGGCTTTCCGGGTTTAGGGAATCCTCCCATGGTGCTGTCGACGGCCGGCACATTTGCGGGAAGATTAAAGTCCAAACCCTATAAACCCCTGAACCCCAGGCCCTAAACCGCAAAGCCTCTACGAAACCCCCGAAACCCCCTAAACCCCTAAACCCAGCGCCTAATTCAGCCCTCAACCCAAAAGCCTGAACCAGCGCAGGCTGCGATAGGGTTAGGCGGGTTTAGGGTTTAGGGTTTCAATTCCTTTTTGAGGGGTTTGTGGTCGAAGCTACGAGGGTGTGGGGGTTTTGGGGGTTTTGGGGTTGAGGGGTCTAGGGTTTAGGGCTAGGGTTCTAGGGATGTAGGGTTGAGGGATTTAGGGGTTTCGGGGATTAGAGTTTTGGGGTTTGGGGTTTTGGGGTCATTCCTCTCTCACTGAGGAGATCAAAGCGCTGATGGGCCCCTCGGGTGAGGAAACTGGTGGGTTTTCTGTAGGGCTTTGGGGGGGGGGGTTCGGGTTTAGGGTTTAGGGTTCAGGGTTTAGGATTCAGGGTTCAGGGTTCAGGTTTTAGGGTTCAGGGTTCAGGGTTTGCTCTTTCCTACGCCCCGTGAAGTGATTTACTCCGACAGCCCCCTCACTTTATTGAAGTTTATGCGAGAACCCTGAGCCCTAAAGCCTGAACCCTCAAGCTCCATTGGTATTAGGGTGTGGGGCGGTTTGCGGAGTTTTCTGCTACTTGCGGCGAGAACAGGAGGCTCCCCGGACAACATTTAGGGATCCATGTGCCTATATTAGGGCCTAGGGTTCAGGATTTAGGATTTAGGATTTCGAGTTTAGGGTATATGCGTGTACCTATATAGGATAATTTCATGGGGTACCTTATTGGGTACTATTTGGGGGCCTATGTTAGGGGTCCCTTGTTTTCGTAAACCCCCGTATAGTATATACTTGGGCCTGAAAGGGGTTCCTAAATAATAGCTTTAGGGTCCAAGTAGATAGATACTATATATACACATGGGTCCATAGGGCAGAGGATCATGTCCCTCTCCCAGCACCGTGGGCTTTGTTCTCACTTCTCTGTGGTGCCTTGTAAACCCTAAGCCCCCAACGCCTTGTATTCCTGGGATACTACGGGGCCCTTTTACGTAACCCTAAAGCCTAAACCCTATAAACCCTAAACCAAGGCCCGGAGTGGAAGACGAAGTACATCGTGGTTGTCACCGTGGCGCTGCAGGCCGTGGTGATTTCCCTAGGGCCCACCGTCAACCCAAATCCCTGAACCTTAGGGGTGCTTGGGAATACTTTCCAATTTTTGGGGTACTCTAATTCCGAAGAAACAGCAAAAATTATTATGTTTGCTGGGGTTCCAAGTTCAGTATAGGAGCTCTGAACTCCAAACTTAAGGGTTCAGAGTGTAGGGTTTAGAGTTTAGGCCCTAAACTCTAGACCCTTGGACCAGAAACCCTGAACCGGGTTCTAACAGTAGATCAGAGTTGCCAGAAATTATTTCGGATGCCCTAAACAGCCCAACTTTAAAATTTAAACCACGACCTAGGACCACAAGAAGCCACAACAAAGCCTAACACCCTAAAGCCTAAACCCCCCAACCCCTAAAGCGCCCTAAAGCCCTAAACCCTAAACCCTAAACCCAAAGCCTTCCCTGAATCACTTTGCAGATCTTCATGGCCTATATCACACGCAACTGGTCCATCTGCTCGCGTCCTGATGCAGTTGAGTTTAGGGTTTAGGGTTTAGGGCTTAGGGCTTAGGGTTTAGGGTTTAGGGCTTAGGGCTTAGGGGCTTTGGGCCTAGAGGGCTTCGAGGGATTGTAGGGTTTAGGGTGCTGAGAGTGGCGTGTAGGCCTTGCAGCGCTTCAGGTTTTTGAGGGTTTAGGGTTTGGGGGACTTGTGTGATTTCCACTGGCTTCCAGTTACCAGGATGGGCTAACATTGTCTTGCGACGATTTGATGCGACCTTTTTGTTGTTGCTGATCTCTTCGGTCGCTTTCACGCAGTTTGGGATGACAGCAAACAGAATCGAGCCCTCCGGGTAGACGAAACCCCAAACCCCAAACCCCAAACCCCAAACCCCAAACCCCAAACCCCAAACCCTAAACCCTAAACCCTAAACCCTAGACAAGGAGATCAGGGCAGAATGTTACACAGGGAAGCAACAGCCTCAAGTTCACGAAGCAGAAGCGCAAGTCATAAAGTTGACAATGGCCTGTTCAATGCTGCAGGGTGTTGGTAGGGTTGTTGTTGGGTTTTTTCCAGGGCTCATAGAGCCCAGAACGGGCTTCTAGGCTTCATAGGACAGGGTCTACCAGGCTTACAGGGCTGAGGGCCTTCAAGGTTTTTAGAGACCTTGAAGGGCCCTAACCCCTAAACATCCCTAAACCCCAAACTCGAAGCCCTAAACCCTAAACCCTAAACCCTAAACCCTAAACCCTTAACCCTTAACCCTTAACCCTTATAAACCCTAAACCCTAAGCCCCCCAATTTTTCACAACGTCAGGTTCCTGGTCGTTGTCTACGTGGTCGGCGCGACGGCCAATCACTCGTTTCTGGGGCCACATTTGGCGTGGGGCGTGGGGCGCGGGCTTAGGGTTTAAGGGTTATAAGCGTTAAGGGTTAATGGGGTTTAGGGTTTAAGGTTTAGGGTTTAGGGTTTAAGGGTTATAAGCGTTAAGGGTTAATAGGGTTTAGGGCGTGTAGAGCGTAGGGCGTAGGGCTTTACGGCTTAGGGTCGCGGGCTGGTTTGTGGGCTTTCAGAGCGGTAGGGTTCAGCGTTGTAGAGTTTGGGCCGAGTTGAAATGGTACGTGCGTCTAGACGCCGTTGCTGCTGCGTTCCTTGTGGCTCTAAGTCTCCTAAACCCTATAAACCCTAAACTACCCTGAGCCCTAAGCCCTAAACTCTAATCCCTAGCTAAACCCTAACGCCCCAAACCCTAAGCGCCTATTTGAGGGTGAGCAAAGGCTCTTCCTGGCCATCCACGAGCTTGCACATGGACTTGGTGCGAAGTCGATGACGGCCAACAAGATCATCGGTACCTGGGACACCAACTCTGAACCCTGAAACCCCAATGTTTTACTAGCACACCCCGCGAACTACCCTTTAACCATACTAGTAGGGTTTAGAAGCCCCCTTTACCGAAAGGCAATTCGTTAGGAGGGGTGCTGTTATAGGGTTAAGGGTTTAGACTACAAGCACTGGACTCCTAGACCCTACAGGCCCTGTAAGCATGGGACTCCTGAGTACTTCTCCGCAGCCTCCTGCCCCGTGGGCATATGGGCTGGGTAGATGACTGGTGGCCCTCCAGAGACGTTCGGCCCACGAAGTCGGACTGTCTGCAAGAGATCATGCAACTTAACCTATGTCGGCCTGGAGGACCCCTACATTATGAATATTTATGTACATATGAAGCTGTTCGACACGGTTGCCTCATCGATATCCGCAGTAGACCATCATCTCACTCAGACAAAGCATGCACCTGCTTTTCTGCAGGCTGCCGGTGTCTCCGTGTGTAGAAATGAATGGAATCATTCGTTTCCCCTACTGCCCCCCTCTATACTACCCCGCCATAGTTAAGGTTTCTTCGAAGAAAGGGGGGAACCCAGGGGGGGCGTAGTAATTATAGAGGGGGTGTAGGGCAACATATGATGGTGTTTTCCTGCGCAGCTCCGCCCGAAAGCTGCCCCCCAAGGCATGGTCGCCAACCTCCCCATCGTCTTCCCGTACTGCATTACCTTCAAGCCGTGAGGGGCTCAGCTCTGCGTGATTTTTTTCTGCTGGTTCCGTAAGTAGGGTTCCCGAATTCCTATGGCTGTTGCTAAAGAGCGATAGAGGGGATGCACCTGACTTCCCGGCGAAGAACCGGTAAGCTTCAGGGTGTATGGTTGACTTCCAAACCCTAGTCAGACTAGATCCTGCTCTAAACCCGTCTAGGCCCCAGAAATAACCATATAACCACCCATGAACCTCCGAGTAGGGAACAGGGGCTTAAGGGATTTGCAGGGCTTACTCAGCAGTCCCTTCGCTAGGCTTGAATGTCGGCGTTCCGACCTGAAATCGCACCTTCCAAGTCCCTAAGCAACCCTAAATCCCATGAGCCCTAAACCCTATATAAACCCGAAACCCCAACTCCCCCCTGAAGCACTCCAAAGAGGGAAAGCCCCTAAACCCTAAACCCTAAAACCCTCAACCCTAACCCCTCTATACCTGAAGACAAGAAGGTACCACATGGCTCATCACCGGAACCAGGGAGTGGATGGCATCGACACCGATGTCCCAACCACTTTGGAAGGCGGGAGAGGGCGGCACCTGGGGGCAGGCACTCTTCTTGGGCGCGCTTCAAGGGCTTTAGGGGGTTTAGGGTTTAGGGCGGTTTGGAGTTTAGGGTCTTAGGGTCTTAGGGTTTTAGGGTTTTAGGGTTTTAAGGTTTTAGGGTTTTAGGGTTTTAGGGTTTTAGGGTTATATGGTTCAGGGTTAAGGGCTTATTGCCTCTACACAGTAGACTCCGATGTGATGCAGGGTATGTTCACCAGAGTTGCCCGAGAGCTGCGTCAATCCGAACACCGCATCAAGGATAGAATGCCTTGAAACCCCTAAACCCTGAAACCCCTAAACCCTAAACCCGAAACCTAAACCCCAACACCTAAAACCCTAAACCCCTAAACCCTAAACCTAAAGCCCTAAACCCTAAGCCCCAAACCTGCAGAGCGGTTTTGGCAAGGCTATCTCATTACCGGGACGTCCATGGGCTACGTCGATCACATGCTCCGGAAGGCCCCCATTAGGGTTCTAGGCTGGCTTTTGGGCTACCTTATATGTTCCATGTATACATCTCTGTACATAAATATTTTCAAAAAAGTTTAAAGGCCAACCCAGGGTTTACTGTAGGGTTTTGGGGAGATTCTATGAACAACTAGAGCTCGTTTCCCAATGTAGCCATTTTTTTCAGAAAGATGCCCTCACCCTCAGCTTTCGCTCGCCAGCACCTGCCTTGGAAGCCCTCGTGGGTCTCAGATTCTTCCGGTTCGGGGTTTGGGTTTTAGAGTCTAGGGTTTACTAGACAGACCAGGGAACCAGGAACAGACGATACTGAGGTCCCAGCAGGGCAGGCAGGTTTGATTTAGTTCAGCCCCCGCATGAATTCAAGCGTCAACCCTCGTTCTTCAGAGTTGGCGATTGAGGGCTCAGGGGGGCTCAAGATTTAGGGTTTTATCGAAGCTTCGGGCAACCACTGCTCCCTTCCTTGAAGCCACGCACGACAGGAGACACCCTCAACAGTCAACCTCACCCGACGTCGTTTACTGTTGGTGAGTAGGCAACGCAGGAAGAAAAATCTTCGTGTAGTCAATACCAGATTTCCTTGCCCTACACCCTCTTAGGGTTTAGGGTTTAGGGCTCAGGGTTTAGGGCTCAGGGTTTAGGGTTTAGGGTTTAGGGTTTATAGGGTTTCGGGGTTCTACTCCTTATTGCCCCAAGTTCTTTAACCGCAAAAGCCCCCCCAGGCCGTGTTCATGTTCTTCCAGATCTTCGCCTACGCCCTCCGGCCGATCTTCATCAAGCCTGACCTTGTGCCAATCGACGGATGGGTGGCCGGGTTCTTCAGTACCACATTTTTTTTGTTTTTTGTGTTTTTGTGTGTGTGTATTCCACCTTATTCAAAAAAAGACACTACACCAAACCCAAATTCCTAAGCCCGAAATTTGACACTGAGTTGTTGGTAGCTCAGCCAGCCCTTTTGCAAGTTAAGGCTTGTAAGAGGCCTGAAACCCTAAACCGAAACCCTAAACCCTAAACCCTAAACCCTAAACCCTAAACCCTAAACCCTAAACCGAGACCCTAAACCCTAAACAGGCCTTACGCTGCCCCCTCAAGTCATGGGCCGAGGTGGTCTGCAATTTTGCCGCAGCCTGCCCGCAACTGCAACAGGGTTGACGGCTTTTGGGGGCTTCTGGGGTGTAGGGTTTAGGGTTTAGGGTGGAGGGTTTAGGGGTTCAGGGGCTGATAGGATTCAGGGCTGATAGAGGGTGTCCGACTTGAGGGCTTTTATGGGATTTCGGGCTTCGGGTTCGCCCTGAACAAGCCTTGACAGTAGGCTTGCACAGGCTACGCCCTTCACTTCTTCCCATACCCCTCCCGAACCCTGAAACCCTAAACCCTTAAACCCCAAACCCTGAAGCACGGAGTCCGTGCTTCAGGGTTTGGGGTTTACCGAAACCAATGGTGACAGTTGGCATGGACTTCATGCACACAAACAAGTCCAGGCGGCGTCTGAACCTGAACCTGAGGGTTGTTGCACATGGGGCACCTTTTTGACACCCCACCCCCAAATCCGTCAACCCCAAAAGCCCAGTTTTGGAGAGAAGAAGCGCCGAAACCCATCCCCAGAAGCAGTTAAGGGTCTTGAGGGGTTTATGCGCCCCCCCCCCCAAGACAGCACCAATTCGCACCTGAGTGTGGCAAGTCGGAGGATGACGGAAGTAGCGCCTTTAGACGTCTTGGAGTTGAGGGGCCAGAATTGAGAGGGGAGAGTTAAAGGATGGGGGGGGGGGGGGGCATGCGCAGCATTATGGGGGCCACATTTCAGTCTTACTTGCGGCTTTGGGGGGGGGGAAGCCTCCGGCTGCCGTGTTGCTTGCAGCGTTCCATGTTTTCTTCTTGTATTTGTTTGTCGACATTGCCGCATTTTGAGCCGTTGCGCATGCTGCTCATGATGCTCGCCCGGCGCCCCCAGCACATCATGAGCATCATTGGCTCTTGGATTTCGCTGGGCTTTTGCGAGCGGTAGGCGACGACCCTCCCATGATTGCCCCGTGAACCCGCAGGACTGCCCAGCTACATGCCGAGGCCTATCATGCCAGATCGCGCCGCAGTGCGCAACATCGTCCAAGTTCCCGGAACACGCGTGCGTGTGCTCGCGACAAAAAACGGTAAAAAAGCAAGCTCATGCACTGCCTGAGACCCATTCTCGACGCGACCATGCCGGGTTTTGAGCGCTGTGGACTTGCTAATCAGAGCTGTCCGCAATTGCCGACAAGTTCGAGTTACAAGATGGAGGCATGAGACCTGCAAACGCGTCAGTTTTGGATTTCTCAACTCTGTGGCGCATGGTGGAAGTAAAGCCCCAGAAACGTGCACCCCCTAAGCCCTCAACCCCAAAACCCCCCAAAACCCTAAACATCAAAGGCCCAAACCCCCTCAAAGCCCTTAGTCCATGAACCCTGAACTCAGGTCTGCGCGACGTTCGACTACCTGATTTTGGTCACCGCCAGCTGGGCTGCACGCGGTCAGGGTTTGGGTTCAGAGTTTGTGGCAAACAGGAGCCAGGGGTAGCACTATGGGCCTTGAGCCTCTACGACTTTCGTCTTTCCGGTGCCCAAGGTTTTTTGGCCAATCTGAAAACTTGCGTTCTCAATGGGAGTCTGCCAGGACGGGCTACTACACCCCATAGCCCCTTTAAAAGGCCCTTTATAGGGTTCATTATGGGGATTATGGGGTCTAATGGCCCATCCTGGTGGGTGTTCTGGCCTCTGCGTCAAGAACTTTGGTGGCTGCCTGATGATCTGAATCCCCCACTTTACACAGGCACCCCAACTTCTCAACCCTAAACCCTAAGCCCTGAAAACCCTAAACTGATAAGCTCTAAACTCCCATTCTAACTACCCTAAACAAGGGTAGGTTAGAACACAGCTTTTCAGTTTGACTACCCTTAATTCCCTTTATACTGTAACCCTTAACAGCCATAAAAAAAATAGTGTTTTTAGGGGCCCCCAAACCTACCCGAGCAGACCCCAAGCTTCGAAGCCTAAACCCAAATGCCGAATGGGCTGGTTGTAGAAGTTCCTTAACCCTAAACCCTAAACCCTCAAACCCGGCTACGTCGAGGGACTTTTTTACCCCGTGATCGAAGCTCCAGAAGCCTTAACCGCGTCCCAGGTGGGGTGGGAAGGGGCCCTGACCTCAGCTGCAAGAAGGTTTAGGGCTCTAGATGCCTTTCTTAGGGTTTAGGGGTTAGCCCTAAACCCTAAACCCCAAACCCTAAACCGGGTTTATAGGGCTTCTTTGGGTTGAGGGTTGAAAGCTCGCGGGTAGAACCCAAATCCGCAAGTTGCGTGTGGGGAGGTGACGAGACGTTCTCGTAGGAACTGGGTGTGCCAGGGTTTGGGCTGGGGGGGGGGGGGGGAGTGAGGGAGAGCGTAGCGCCACTGCAGCGCCGCTGCACCCACAACCCTGATGCATATGTTTGCCGTAGAGTTGCATGTGTTTCTTCGGTGTGTTGAGCTGCAGGCGCTGGCTTAATTCTTGGGCCAGTTCTTAGTGCTCCCATGCTTCAAGTCATGCGCTGATGTCCAAACGGCACCAAGCCAGGAGCGAAAAACCCTATAAACCCTCAAACCCCAGACCCCAAGCCCAAACTCCAAATCCCCCACTTTCAACCCCAAACCATGAGACTCCAACATTGTCCGGATTCCCAGCATCTCTATAATATACACTTGGGCCCCAAAAGCTACCATATCGGAACCGGTCCAATGATCTGCTCTATAGGTACATTTGGACCCTGTAGGGAAGCACTGTGAGGTGCTGTATCTCCTGCTCTCCACCTTCTTTGCGGGCTCCATCCACCCGACCGCCGGACACTTCATCGCGGAGCACTACGTCATGGAGGGCACGACGGAGCCTGGGTTGAGTCAGTTGGGTTTAAGATTTAGGGTGTAGAGTTTAGGGTTTAGGGTTCAGGGTCTAGGGGACTTGGGGGATCTAACCCTACAAGCCCGATGCCTGTGCGCTCCACAGCTACAAGGCCTTCTCACCCACAGTCGCCGTTGCTTCGGTTTAGGGTTGCGGGCTACGGGCTTGCGCCTTACTTTGGCCAGGGGTTGCTTGGGTTGGGAGTCGCCCTGGACCCTAAACTTCTTTGTGGATCTGCCATGCTCATCTCAGGAAACGTATTCCTACTACGGCCCGTTGAACCGCCTGACCTACAATGTGGGATACCACAACGCCCCTTGACGCAGCCAGGGAGTCGGAGCGTAGGGTTGAGGGGTGTAGCGGGTTAGGGTTCAGGGTTTGCTGTAGTTTGGCACCGATGCGGTGAAGGTTGGGATGCAGAATAGGCTGGAAAGCTTCGTCAAGTGCGAAGCGCAGCTAATGGCCCGATTGTGGAGGGCGCCCCACCCCATCTAAAGTGGCAAAGCCACCCAAACCTTTCCTAAGGTTGGGCCCCACGGATATGTCATTTTTCAGGCTCATGTTAATAAGAGACGAGTACAGGCCCCGCGCGGGCTAAGCCTTGAGTTTACGCGTCGCATGAGATCCCCAACCTTCACCTTTGAGGGCCCCGTTTTGGAAGGCAGATCCTGAAAGCATAGGGTGCTCCGGAGATAAGACCACAAGTACCCAAAGCCCTAAACCCCAAACCCTAAACCCCAAACCCGAAACCCCAAACCCGAAAACCCGAAACCCCAAACCCTAAAGCCCAAACCCTAAACCCTAAACCCCAAGAAGCCTCAGGAGCACCACGACTTCCCCAACATCGCCTGGTCAAGCTTGCCAAAGGTGCGGGAGCTGGCTCCGGAGCCGCCAGGTTTGATTTTAGGGGCTTTAAAGGGTTTAGGGGGTTTAGGGGTGTAGGGGTTTAGGGTTTTGGGTTTTGGGGTTTTGGGGTTTTGGGGTTTAGGGGTTTAGGGGTTTAGGGGTTTAGGGTTTTAGGGTTTAGGGTTTAGGGCTTAGGGTTTAGGGTTTAGGGTTTAGGGTTTAGTTAGAGTTTGTTCAGAGTTTAGGGCGTTTAGGGCTTTTAGGGTGTTTAGGGGTGATTCGGGATGTTTGAGGGCGTTTATGGCCTTCAGGGTGTTTAGGGGTGTTTTAGGATGTTTTAGGGTGTTTAGGGTGTTTTTAGGTGTTTAGGGTGTTTAGGGTGTTTAGGGTGTTTAGAGTTCAACAGTTTAGGATTTAGAGTTTAGGGGTTAGGGCTTAGGGGTGCTCAGGGGGTTAGGCAGGGGGTTTCGTTTTGGGCTTTGGTTGGGAGAGATGTTTTCGGGGTGCCAGCATATCGAGGATAGGGGTTTAGTTTGGGGTTTAGGATTCAGGGTTTAGGGTTTAGGATTCAGGATTTGAGGGCTCAGGCAGCCCGAGCATTTTCTGGGCCCGAGGTACTACGACAACCTCCCGCAATGCCCCAGCTGGCCAGGCGGGCGCTTAGGGTTTAGGGTTTGGGTTTGGGGTTTAGGAGTTAGGGTTGAGAGAGGCTTTGAGGCCCCGCATGCTCCAGTTCATCGTCCAATGTAAATCGGGGTCCTCTGGTAGGTACAGTTTATTTTATCCCCAGTCAGGCAGGATACCCTAAACCTTAAAACCCTAGAGCCAAGAGTCGAGATCCTTTAGTGGCTCAACCCTATACACCCTAAATCACCCCCCCCCCCAAAAAAAAAAAAAAAGAGGAAAACACAAAGAGAAAGAGACAGAGAGAGAGAGAGATCCTCATGCCCCCAAGAAAGAAAGAAAGATGGAGACAGATGTATAATTAAAAAAATACATAGATAAATATGATTTTTGTATTCATTTATTTGTCTATTTCTCTATATAGTGTCACCCTCAACCCTGAACCCACTTACATAAACCCGTACCCTGGTGTAGGGGCCATCCTCCGCTACATCATCGATGACTCCATCAGCCCCTTCAGTCGGGTGAAGAGGACGAAAAAGGCAGAGTGAGACCGCGCCCGGGCCGAAATTGAGGTGAAGGCTGAGGGCTTGGTGCTTGGGGCTTGGGGCTTGGGGCTCAGGGCTCAGGGCTCAGGGCTCAAGGCTTAGGGAGCCTTGAGCTTACTTGAAGGTTCCAACGGTTTAGGTTTTAGGGCTTTACAGTTGTAAGTTTCCGCCCTTGTAGCTGGTTATATCTATGCAGGTAACTCCCCGTCGAAAAAAACACTCAACGCTAACCCCCAAAACCCTAAACTCCAAAACCCAAAACCCTAAACCCTAAACCCCAGAACCCTAAACCCTAATCCAAAACCCTAAAGCCGCTAGAGCAAGGCCTGCGGCGGCGAAGTTTTTCCGGACAGGCAAGAGACGACTGCGTGGCTGGGCTCGCAGAGTCTAGAGGGCTTAGGGTTTAGGGTTTAGGGTTTAGGGTTTAGGGTTGTGGTATTATCTTGAGGGTTTGGGGTTGGGGTTTTTCGGGTTCAGGGCACGGTTTCGGCTTCAGTCGGGGCGTTGCTGGTTCAGGGGTTCATTGATTGACTTTCCGGGTGAAGGTTCAGGGTTCCTAAGCCCTAAGCCTTAAGCCCCAAATTCTAAACCCTAAACCCTACACCTTCAACTGCCCCTTGAGATCTGAGGTGTGTCATCTTGCCTGTGCACGCCTCAATTCAGTGTACACGCCACATTGGAACCGCCAATGGGCTCTCGATGATCAGATCTCAAGGGCCAAGTTGAAGGTTTAGGGTTTAGGGTTTAGGGTTTAGGGTTTAGGGTTTAGGGTTTAGGGTTTAGGGTTTAGGGTTTAGGGGTAGGGTTTAGGGTTTAGGGTTTAGGGTTTAGGGTTTAGGGTTTAGGGTTTAGGGTTTAGGGTTTAGGGTTTAGGGTTTAGGGTTTAGGGTTTAGGAGGTATCTCATTAGTCTTATTGATGACTCAAATGACCCTCAAAGCTTTTTGCCTTCCCCACGGCCATAGTAACATCCATATTTTTGCCTTCTCGCCAAGTCAGCAGCTTGGATGCGCCGATCATCCTGTTTAAATTTGCGCCTGCCAGGGCCGGCCTCACGTGATTCATTGGAGTGAGTGGGGTTCAGGGCTCAGTGCTTAGGATGGTTTAGGAATGGATACCTTTTTTCCGTATAGAAATACGAAAGCATTGCAGTCCCCAGGATGTAGATGAGCTCCCCCGCCCCACCCCACCCGCCCCTCCATGCGAAAGCGGGGACCAGGAGGCGCGTAAGTCTGCAGTTCACTTGGTTTGCTATAGGGTCTCGAGGCCTGTGGCACAGCCAGGTTCACGTAGGTTCATTCCGTGCGCAGCATCCGGAAGTAGAGTTTGGGATGTTCCCCCTTAAACTAACAGTCCTTAATCGGGATTCAAAGTACCCCCTACTAGAATCCCCATGAAGGACTGTTAGTAGAACAGGGGGAGGATCCCAACTTACGTATAGTCTTCATTGGGTTGAGGGATGCAGCTGCGGATGCCTTCCCCGAACACTTACGAACGCACATGGGAGATTAGGAGGATGGAATGGTGGACCCCAGAGATAGACCCCAAGTTGTAGGATTCCCTTATACTAAGGGTTTAGGGTTTAATTAGGGTTGAGGGTTGAGGGTTGCAGGTTGAGGGTTAAGGACCCCAAGAAGGTACCCCCAATATCAAAGAGGGCTCTTAGTAGAGACCCGTAGAGAATGAGCCTTGGAAACTTAGAGGCTTAGGAGGTATAGCTGTGGGAAGCTCTCTTTGGTTGTAACTTCATCTGGGGTACTCCCTTACAAGCCCTTAAAGGCCCATACCGTAAACCCCAAACCCCAAACCCCAAACCCTAAACCCTAAACCCTAAACCCTAAACCCCAAACCCCAAACCCCAAACCCCAAACCCTAAACCCTAAACCCTAAACCCCAAGCCCTTAAAAAGAAGGCCCAAGAACCCTAGTCACAAGCAGGCTAGACTCCGCTGGCATGGCAAAGGTCCATGTCTGCCCAGCTATCTGCCCCAGGGAAGCCGGTGCGGTTTAGGGTTTAGGGTTTAGGGTTTAGGGTTTAGGGTTTAGGGTTCAGGGTTCAGGGTTTAGGGTTTAGGGTTTAGGATTTGGGGTTACAAGTAGTATCAAGTAGTGAGGAGACAACCTTTTCTGTCGTTCTTCTTCTCGTCCTTACCCTAGGACTATTTGGGTGACAAAAACGAACCCTAAAATGGGGATCTTCTACTTATGCTGTAAATCCTTTTCAGGTACCCTGGACCATGAAACCCTTTGAGGTCCCAAGACCAACGACGTCGTCAGGCGGACCTCGTAGACTTGTTTTTTGGCTCTTTCCTGGCAGCCACGAATCTCGAAGCACCGTTTTTTTCCTGCCACCCCCCCCCCCCCCCCCCCCCCCCCCCCCCCC